ATCAACATATCTGCAAAATATCTGCAACTTTTATGCAGATATTTTGCAGATATTGTAGATCTTGTTGCAGATATGCTGCAGTACTGCAACAGATATATGACAGATACTTGCAGACATTTTACATATATGTCAGTTTGGTAAGGGATTGTTCACCTTTTGTCGACATCACATCTTGTTCATCAGAGAGGAGGGCAAAAGACATCACAAGATAGTTTGAAATCCTTTATCTTTGCTCCATCCCCAGAAACCTTGACCTTTTTCCCACCTTTTTGCCCATTTTTCACCTAAATAAACAACAATTTGGAGAGTATTGCAAGATGTAATATACAACAGAATTTTCTAATCATTATACATAATAGTTCTACTGCTCATAATGAATAAAATGAATTACTGATCATTATAATCAATGTAATCTAGTGGTGATAATCACTATTTACTAATAGTGATTATCATCAATAGATGATATTGATAATTATATATATTTAATATTCTTTCTGAACTACTGTATGAGTAGTTTGCTTACCTTTGCTTTAAGCTTTCACCTAAGCTCCTCCCTAAAGCTCATTTGAGCTCCCACCAAATCTCCTTGGGTTCTTGTTATGGTGAAACAACCATTTATCTCGCTTCGGCACTGCTTGATCAAGTAACTCCGTGGCAACCTACCTTCGATCTCGGACAACTCGTGGTATATGCAGCATCACCAATGCAGAAAGTATCCAAAACATAAAGAACTTCCTTGATTCTCAATTTCTCCTCATTTGCTAGATCTTCAAACTTGGACTTTTTGGCACTTTTATCGCCAGGGCTGATGCCCAATTTAATTTCCACACCATTGGAGTCTTCCACTAGGAGAGTCTTTGGTGCAGCACCATATGAGTCTAAAAACCACAATGCCATTTCAACTTTTGTCTTGAGTTCTTTCAATTTTCTCTGGCGTTGTCTTGGACAGACATTACCTAGAGTGTTCGATTTATTTCCAAGACTGTCTGCACAATTTTGGCATACATTCAATTTTTCGATATTATTTACATACTCTCCAAGGGTGGTATTCTCCTCTTGCAAAAGATTAATTTCTGTCTTGCAATTCTTAAGCCCATTTTCACATTGTTTTGCTTTCTCCTTTTCCTTCAGCAATTGTAGGTAGAGTTCGGAGCATCTCTCTTCAAGTTCACTTAGTTCTTCATTTCGTTGATTTGGTTCAGCCCTCAGCCTGTGGTTCAGCAATATCACCACGACAGATATTTACTCAGCATATTTTCTGGAGCAAATTTTTTCTCTGATTACCACACTTACCATGACATTCTCACACAGCAATTAAAGCAGCATCATTGATGCATTTCTCCAACAATGGAGTGCCAACCAAACCAAATGGAAGAGCTTGAGTTTCCCCAATGAAATTCGCGTACGAATTGCTTGTTGATTTAACCTTTAATCCATGCCAGTAAACCAGCATTTCTTGAGGAATTTCTCCCAATCTCACAGTCTTTATTAGAATATCCTATTTGCAAATAAAATTTTCGCTTTGTGGCCATAACTACCCGCCATATGTATTTCAATTTTGCGCGCATTTTCTATTTACATGCTCCATGTTTATAGCAAATACCGCTGGCTTTTTCCAAATTGTGGGCTCAAACATGTCAAATTTATTTCTCATATATCAAACATAAAGGTCACAATTTAACCTATAACATTGTTGTACCTGTGAACAGCCGCATAATACCCTAGTAAGCATGCATAGCCGGAACTTCGAATAATGTTTACTATAAAGCAACTTTCAGGAGCTTCAAGCAGATACTTTCAGACTCGAAATAATCTAACATTTCACCGATCTACGGCTATTTTAAAATGTGCTAAGTTCGCTAATGGATGTCAGCTTTTGTCGTTGTTGATATGCTTTCAGAAATTCAACAAGGAAAAGACAATTTGAAATTAGGTACTTTTTTACAACGTCAATATATTTGAAGAGTTAAGAACTTCTGCCTACTGGATATAATTTCGCATGTTGACATTTGTGTATTCTGTGGGTCCTAGAGCGTTTTTTTTTGTGCAACTATGTACTAAATTGTGCTTGTTGTAGTGTAAACTATAGAGCATTGTTGGAAATTTGACGATTTTTTCAGGGACAGCCGACTTTTTGCAAACATCAAATAAATTTTGGTTTGTTATGTTCTGTAACATTCATTTGACTTAGCATTAATTTCGCATCTCAAGAAAGCCCTCTCATTCTATGTTTATTTCAACATTTTTCCCTCCTGCCTAGTAATATTATAGGTAATTTTCACAAAATCGATTAGCCAACAGAAGTATTGTGCAATCGAATGTTGCATATTTCAGGCCATGAAAAAGATATCAAACATGTAAAATAAATAACGTTAAATCATCCAGAAAATTAATTAAATGTGGGGTTCCCCAGGGGTCAAATTTAGGACCCCTCCTATTCTTATTATATGTCAATGACCTGCCAAATTGTCTTGATCAGGCAAAAACCTTTGATGTTTGCTGATTATACTAATATCTCCGCATCTGCATGCAGAATCCGTACATGAATTGGAGCAAAAATAGAGCACCGATCTTAGTAATATCTATCAATGGTTAGTGGCAAACAAATTAACACTTAACGTTTCTAAAACAATATATGATTATTGACTCTCAAAATAATCTAAGTAAGGTTAATGTAGATCCGACAATTAAAATTGGCGGCGAATCTATTAATAGAGTTAAAACAACAAAAAGTCTTGGCATGGTCATTGACAATAAGTTGAAATGGGAGGACCACATTGACAGGATCAGCAAAATAGTTTCAAGCGGAATAAGGAGTGATAAAATTGATCAAGCCTTATATTCCAAAGGATTGCCTGAATCAGATTTGTAATGCTCTTGTGCACCATATTTTGACTATTGCTCTCTAGTATGGCAAAATTGTAAACTAGAGTTGCAATTGAAACTTCACAGCTTCAAAATAGGGCAGCAAGAGTTATAACTGGAGATAATTGGGAGATTCGTTCAAAAGATGTTCTTAGCAAACTGAATTGGCAACCACTAAACCAGATAAGATTGGTTAAGGCATTCTTGTTTATGTGTCAAATTCTAAAAAATGAAGTTCCTACATCAATATCAGACCAGTTTCACATTTCAGTAAATGACCAATATAATCTATGCGGTAAATTTACTATGCTGAAACTGGCAAAACCAAGAACAAATGCACTGAAGTGAAATTTTAGCTACCATGGTGCAAAAGTTGGAATAATTTGCCAACTGAATGGAAAAATCTCACGATCTCTGAGAGACTTTTCAAAAATAAACTACAAGATTTCATCTAACTGCTTACCTTAAATTTCTACACAGCCTTATAAAAGCAACCCATTTTAATTATTTGAAACTTTATCAGAAAACTTTATATATTTTTAGTAGAAATAGCTAGGTTGATAAGCTACCATGTATAAAGAATTTTAGATAATAATACAATAATTTTAAATAATAATAATAATGCTCCTGATCGGCCAGATTTTTATTTGATCAGCAAAAACTCATGATTGCCCGTTCACCACTTATCTTCTGCATTTGAGCGAGGAAGGCACAGTACAGTTAAAGCAACTCACGCTAATTGATAAGATTATAGTTATTTTACATAAAGCATCGGTCTGGGGAAATCCCTCATTAATTTAAGTGTCAATTTACTAATTTGTGCAATAGTGCAACTTATGCAATACCATACGTTACACAGCAACTGCTCGAAAAATACTTTATCTTATAGCTATTGATTCAGCTAAATAAAGATATTTGCTTACAAATAGAAGCGTTATGAACAAAAGTTGGATCGCTTCCTATTTGTTTTTGCTTTTGTGTGAGAAAACAGTGTCTATGTGTGTGAGAAATATGTCAAATGTGTGTGTCTCACACAAAATGTGTGAGAGTTGGAAGGTTAACTCTTCAAGTGGAAATCACCCATATGCACCCTATTTTGTTATTTTATTATGTCTAATACCAGACAATTTTATTTGTCAGGGGGAGAGTGCTGCCACTCAATGGGTTAATCTGTCATTGGGTCCTCTATTTGAAATAATAAATTAAGGCTGTTATTTCTATGGACTTTTTTTGACCACAAAATGTTGTTGCCTTCAATATGTTCACTGTACTCCAAACTGATCTTATTTCAGGTAATTTTTCACCCTAGTGTCGTATAAATATTTATTATTAAATGAAACTATGCTGGAAATTGGATTTGCACAGTTTGACTTCATCCCGGCAAGTGCAACTGTACAGTAATATATCGCACACTTAAGCTGTTGATTTTTTTGTTTTTACATTGTTCAGTGTTCCCATATATGCATATAATTGTGCTTATTTTCCAAGAACATTGTCGAAGAAAAAAATTCATTTTCCAACATAAAATAATGATTAAAATTTATTGTAAAGTTAGTCTGTATAATAGTAACACCAGTGGTGCCAAAATTACTTTGAATTTGCATCGAGTAAAAGTAAAAGTAATTAACAATAAAACGACTTGAATGAGAGTAAAAAGGACAAAGTATCTTTCAAAAATACCTGAATTACAAAGTAAAAGCACTACTGTCTATAGCGTGTAGGGGGGAGGACTTCTCTGATAGATTGACATACACAAGAGCAGAGGCGTAGCCAGGGCTGGAGCCGGGGGGGGGCCTGATAAAATGTATTGTTTAAAAAAAGGGAATCCTTGATTATATAGCTTAATGCTGTCAATACTGCAAAAATTCTGTAGAATATATGCTTTGCTGCACGTCCGTGTGAAACCTAAAATCTTGTTCGCTTATTTGCAGCACACAGCTTGAAACACATACCCTAACCCTAATTATTTCAATATGTATTAAAATGAGGGTTAGATGAAGTTTAAACCAATCTGTTTTTTTACCAGCGAATTTTTAACACGGGCTCAGTGAAAAATCACATGTGTCAACAATTAATTTTCCTCAGCACTGCACATCATATATATTGTCAGTATAAAAGGTCGTTCCATCTTCAGCCACGATTTAACTTGAATCTCCAAACCCAATTGCTTAGAAGGTCAGGTATGTTGTATAGTATTTTCCAATCTCTCCATTCATATACACCATGTTGGGCACAAGTTTTGTGAGACTGATAATTGCGTATTCCAGGTATTAAATACCGGTCTATAAGATTGCAACACTTAAACAACTATCATCACGAAGCATTAGCCTTCTTTTGCAAATCCTACACTAGCAAATGCATCGAAGGTCACATATATGGCACAGTATTTTACCAATGATCTACACAGCTAAGAAACATAGTCAGCAAATCGCAAGGATAGACTGATAGTACAGGATGACACATGGCAAACATCTTTCTTCACCTTGCGCATTTGCCTGCAATCCACAATCTCATATTAGCTCTAAGGGTCACGTGTATAGACACTTTTATAATTCCCAAACTAAACTATATTGTGCAGTATTTCATGTGCTTTCCAACCATGCAGAGTAAATAGTGGCACAAGCTCATGAACGTCGAAATGGCAAGGATTTGTGCTAATTACTTTTGTGTAGGGGTGATGAATAGGGGTATACAAATCCGCCGATCTGCCCTAATTTGAGGCAAAATCTGCGTTCTGACAATGGTCTTGTGTAAATTTCAATCAGCTAAAATCTCCATAATGAACTCACAATCCAGGATCCGAACTAAATTGCAAGTCAAATCCAAAGTCTGAGCCAAAGTATTAGGTAAATCCACAATCTGATGTATTGATAAGATCCGCAAATTTGTGTTAAATATTTGCCAGATCCGAAATCCGAACAATTTTTTCTGTGAAATCCATCGATCTGAAAACCTATTCACTCCCCTGTATGTATTAAATGCCAGACTACAGGATTACATTGTGCAAACATTTATATTCAGCCAGCCTTTATGCAAATCATAGTTAATAGAGGACAGGGTTTGGAAGGCCGGCAAACTTCAAAGGTTTTCGAGCTAATTAATTTCAGATGTTGGAAAGGTACGTCACGTGACATTTCGGGTGCATCAAATTCAGAAATTACTATAGTGTAGTATTATAGAAATATGCTATTGTGCTTATAAATTTTAAAATAAGGCATTGTTGTTCTTGTTATGGCTTTGACAAGTTCGGCATACGATTCAGAAAGCAAAATTCACCCAATTCTGGGTGCTGGAGAAGCAGATACAACGACAGAGGCGATTTTCATCGAACTATTTAGCTGCTGCAAATCAACGAGGATGAATTAACTGAAGAAATATCGCGTTCAGTTGAAGAAGTAAGTCCTTTATACTGTGTCCAATTAAACAATATGTAGTGAGATGCCTTAGACTTAATATTCAACTTATATTTGTCGTTTAGATTGAAGGATTAAAGCAATTCCTGTGCGAATATTGACGCAGTATTAAGCACTGGACAAATTCTACATAGCTAGTACTGCCAAACTAGGAAAACAAAACCCATGTTTATAT